CCCCCCGCCCCGAGCAGCGCCGCCGCCGCTAGGCAGAAGGAAGCCCTGCGCCTCCCCGCCGAGCCCGGCCGGCGGAGCTGCCCGGGCGCTGAGCGGGCCACGTCCCGGCCCCCGCAGCGCCGCCCCCCGCCAAATGCACACCTCGGTTGCCGCAACAGGAACGGAGCGCGCCGGAAGGGGTCCACCGGGCCATCTAGTCTGACCCCAGCTCCAGCCTGAGTCGTAGATGCTCTGACCTCTGCCGGGTGCGGGTGCCTGGAGGGCCCCGTCTCCGAAGAGCAGCCCGTTTGTGAGAAAGGATCTGTAGGCAGGTGGGGGAAAGGAGGCGTCTGCGTTCAGGAAAAGGCTCAGGCAGAAAGATCCAAGGGGGGCGGGCAGCTGGGTGTGACGCCCCTGTGGGCCAAAAGCCGGCTGATCCCAGAAGGCCCGATGGGACCGAGATCATCGGGGCCTTGGACCTTTATTTCTGCACATGCCCAGGGACGGTAGGGGCTGTGGGCCCAGCAGGCTATCCCGGCCTGGGGCATACAGGGAGCCGTGGGACTTTCTTCTGTCTAAGCACACGGGAGTGCGCCCTTCATCTCATTAATTTTGCCCATCTGCCCTTCCCTTTGGTTCTGTTTTTCCCTTTATCTCAAGCCTTTGATTCTCCTCTCTTTCTGTCCTCCTCTGCACTTTTCCCCTGGTCCTTCCTCGCTGTCTTCCTCTCCTTTTCGATTCCCCAGCGTTCTTTTCTGTAAGACTACTTCCGTATCCATTCAGCCTCGTTAGAGGTGTTTCCTTCGCCACCCACTTTCTTTGGCATTCACAGCATCACTGAGTTGTGGGTTCTCTCTCCATTCCACCGTATCTGTGCCGTGTTTATTATGTTCAGTTCTCTTCCCTTCCCCATCTCCTATATAAAATACTCTATGCATTCATTCTTTCCCAGAATCCTTTGGTACCCAACTCCCTACCCACCTGGACTCTTAACAGTCCGGTCATGCCAGCATGGACTTACCCCTCATTCAACTTGCAGCCCCCAAGCCCTGAGCAGGGTAACCGGTCAGCCAGCGCAAGGGTCCTGGCTCACCCTTCCGTGTGGGCTCCCAGAATATTTCTGGAGATGGCACCATGGCTGGAGGCCTGAACTGGACCCTGCCCTCTGGACAAAGCCCTCCTCTTCCAAGAACCTAACGGGACTTTCTCTATCCAGGACAATTTTACTCTAGGGAGCTAAGGCTTAACCGGTGTCAGGTGGGGACATCCATGTTATAATTTCGTAATAAACAATTTATTTTCTAAAAGAAGGCTATTCTGAGTTGTGTGTATGAGATGGAGATCATAGGAACTGTGGCCAGCAAAGGTTTGGTCCAGTCTGGGGAGGAAAGGGGGACATAATCCAGAACACAGTAGCCAATTCTGGTAAATGTGATGTGTCTATTATTGGGAGATACGATTAATTCTCCTTCTTGCATCAAGCCTTACTGGAGTATATGGAGATTAGATCATTAAGGATTAAGTAAAAATAATGCTGGCTCTGTGTGATGGCAAGAGATTAACTCTGATACAGAATCACAAGATAGAGTGGCCCGGGAAGGGTCTTTCTGGTGTGAGAGGAGAAGGAAAGGGGGCACTTGGTGGTGTGAGCTGGGTGGTCTTGTGGGGAAAGAACAGGGGGCCATTAACTTCAAAGGTCGGATTATGAGCTCTTGAAATCCAAGGTGTTTGCACCCTAGTTGTGCTTAAAGTTCATGTACCCTCTGACATTTCACAAATCCCCTAATGAGTTTTTAAAAGACATGTCCCCAAACAGTAAAAACTAGAATGTTGCAACGGGTCCCAGTTTACCAGAAGAAGAACTCGAAGCTCTTCGGGGACCTCCTTCCATGAGGCATGGCTGGGAAGGCTGCCTTAGGCAGCAGGTCTTTGATGTCACAAAAAATAGCAAATGAATGTTTGGTTGTCATTCTTGATGAGGGGGGTCCATTGACAGGTTTGCTGGGTCTGATCAGAAACAGGGTTGGGAATATACTAAACTCAGTTTCGAGGCTGGTCTGTGTCTTTCTTCAACAGAAAGAGTGTGGTTGGTACATGTAGACTTGGGCTTTGAGGCACAAATGTACGTTCTTTGTTATAGGAACAATTATTCTCAGAATCCTTGCAAGAGGGATGGAATACTAGTAGATGTGACCAAACAGCAGGGGACATTAATCCCAAAGACAGTAGGAGCCCGTTTTGCTGGTAGGATTTAAGGGGATCAAAATAGATCTGAGTAAATGTCTACTTTTCTGAAAATCTTTCTTGTAAATTGTTACATTTGGATAAATTAGATTTACAGAATCAAACCAAACCAAAGTGCAACTAATTTTGAGTGGAGTGTTCATAGTTCGATGGATTGTTTGCATGACAACAGTGACAGAAGCTGAAATAAATTTCAGCAGAGTAACACTCACCAAATATTCCATGTACTCTGCAATGAAACAAGGATGGTTAAGGGTTTAGTTCTCTGCATATTTAAACAAAATGTTCTATAAATGCAAGCATCTCCCAGCCATCGTAGAATTTTGGGATTCAAACAGTCAGAGGACTGTATCCTAAGCAACCTAGCTACATTCTGCAAGTTCAGTATCAAGTGTGACCTTGCAAGACAAATTTATTTTGGGGAATAATTCAGGATTTTGCAATGAAAAGGCCAGAAAAATAACGCTGTAAACTGAGCTGATATATTTATAAAATGTATGCCGCCATATTGGTCAACTAGAATAAAAAATGATCAGGATGGCTGAATGGGAATACCTTCTCTGTTAGGACTAACCCAAACGGTCCGAAGTCGTCAGCTACTTTTGAAGAACTCTACTTCAGACTGGATATTATGGTAAAGAGAGAGAGAGAGAGAGAGAGAGAGAGAGAGAGAGAGAGAGAGAGAACACAAGACTAAGGCAAGGTTTTTGGGAGCATGGTAGAAAAGCTACAGTAAAGTCCATGCTGAAGTTTCAGGGATGCAGCAGTTCGAGTGTCAGAATTAAAACAAATTGTTCTTCCATGAGTCAAGGAATTGTGCATATGGAATAGAATTTTAATATGTGGGTGAAGTGGGCCAAGTTACAGGTTCGGGCTTCTCCCCCAAATTTTGCACGGCTCTTGCCTGGCTTCACTGTAGACCCCTGTGGTCCCCTCCCAACAGCACAATCATTTCCTCCCACCACCCCAGTCAAAATGTTTTCAGCTAGTCAGCAGTTGGCTAATGGATCAAATTCTCCTGAAACTCACATTCTGGGAACGTTCTCTTTTCAATCCCAGACATCTGCGGACAGGCTGTGCTGATGCTCCAGGGAAGCCGCTCTTTATCGATGCCTTGCATATTCCAGGGCTGAGGCACAGCACTGAAAATGGCTTCTAAGGTCCTGTTTTCCTGTTGCTGTCTCCAAGCACCTTCCTCGCTTCAGGTTTCCTCGTCTTGGGAACCTCCCTGGTACCCAGGGACAGGCCAGGTTAGCACCAAGCAGATGAGTGAGCAAGGGAGCGAGCGAGCATTCTTCCTCTCTTCTTTCTTCATCGGTTTAGAAAAAAAGCCCCGGGTATTTTAATTATTCCCCGCTGTTTAGAAATCAAAATGCCACAGGGGAGCAAAGAAGCCAAAGCTGTACCCCCTAAGAAAAGCTAGAATCATGTTCTTGTGCTGGCACAGCCTCCTCAGGCAGCACCGCCACCTTCATACAGGAAGAGGGGATGGCAAGAATAAATGAAAAGCCATTTATTTTTTTAGACATCCACCACAATACAAGGCCCTACAGGTCAACTGGTGGCGGGGTGGGGAGAGAGAGGGGGAGGAAAGCCGTACATCACTTTTCAGAAACCACTTGTGATATTAAATAGAGACTGAAAACATGTACACACCCCCAAAATAATTACACACCCCCTAAGCTCAGTAATAAATGTAATAGGATTGCCTCCGGATGGCCAGCAAAGCAAAAGAACAGAAGACTGGAAAACTTTCAGCAACCGTAACATTAAGTATGATGCTGTTTGGCAAGGGAATGTGGCTCTCGTAGGATTTAGCCTTCTGTTTGCAAGAAGGCTGCAAGGAGAAAGGAATTCCTACAGAGAGATCTAAATTCTATTGACTGGAGTGAGGTAGCAACTAAATGGGAACATCCACAAGATGGAATTTTGGGGGGGTCTTCATCAGAGATCGGGCACCACATCTCGCTTCCGCCACAAATTCATTGCATGGTCTTTTGGGTATATCACAGATTCGCTCTATATACCCCACCCCTAAAATGGGATCAGTTGTGATCCAATTTAAAGGCTTAATGGGAGGCTAATTAAAAGGCTTGGGGAAAAAGAGGACACACATGCTGAAGTATGAGGAAGGTTTATTCTATTATGCACACTGTAAATGGACAATTTTTCTTTCCTTCCTTTTTCCTCTCTCACTCATAAGGGTAGACCGCAGGGTCACCCGGCGAGGGGCAGTAAGAGACAAAAGGAAGAAAAGGACTGCAGACTGCATGGAGGGAATCTGCATAAAACGACATAGACCACTTCACAGATGAGGAGAGAAAAGGGCTATCTAGGCCTGTTGCAGTACATCTGTGTTCCCACTAAGGGTATCCCTCTTGCCTTCCTCCGGGAGACTCAAGAACTCAAGCCATTCTGCCCACCCACCCACCCACCCACCCTTTCCATTTTCTCTCACTTGTCAAGCAACGCTCTGTAACATGCTCAGTTTTTGCCGTGGGTAGTTTTGGGTGGAAGGTTTTTGCCTCCTAGGTTCCCCCCCCCACAGAAAAGATGCTTTTGTACTTCTGCAAATCCTCTTGTTCCCCCAAACAAGCTGATGCACGCTCCCTGTATCTCAGTTGCTCCGTTTTGGCTCCAGTTCTTTTGGCGTTCACACCTTAGCTCACTTTTGGCAGGAGGGATGGCTACAGGACGCATCCATGCGCAGCGGCATTATAATACTGCCGGGTATCAGAATGCTACTGCCTTCAAGCCCTAGTGCAGCTTTCCTGGATGCGTCTGGGCAACCGAGGGCTGCCCTCCGCAGACCTTTGCTCTCATCCAGCTGAGCTCTTCTCTGGCAGCTTGCATTCTGCAGAAGGGATGCCCAGTTCTCTGTCCCGCGAGACCACGGAAAGCAGACCGGAGGAAAGAGGCAAGACGGGCTCAGCTCAAAGGCTCCCTAACACAGGGGTGTCGAACCGATTTCGGCTCAGGGGCTGAGTAGGATTTTGGAAAGGCTCCTGCAGGCAGCCTTCCAAGGCAGGAGAGATAGGGCTTAACTTGGCGGTATATTGTTGGCATTACCTCCCGTCATCACTACACCTGAGGAGCGACATCAGCCATTTCGGACGGACAGCGGAAGGGACAGCACAGCAAACAACTTGTGTTTCAGGGGAAGCAGGTATGAAGGTCTGGCGAAGCCTGGAGAGCAGGAACTAGCCTCCACGCGGACCAGCTTCAGCCCTGGGCTTGAGGTTCTGCATCTCTACTCTAAAAGAATCGGTGCCAACTCTCAACAAGTGTAATCACAGCTGTGGAGCACTTGGTGCTCTGGCAGACACGACCGGCTGCCTGCAAACCCCACCGGGACAGATGGCTTCCTAGAGTGGAGTCTCTCATCGTCTCTCTCTTTACCAGTCCGGCTAGCTCGGCAGGGCAGTCAAAACCACGTTGCTCTGGGGGAGCAGGAATGGTGCTTCGAGGGCTATCAGTTGCCCATCCCCCCAATACAGGATAAATTTTGGGGTGGTCCTGTTTATGTTGCATCTACATAGTGGCTCCATGCGATTCCCGGATGCTCTCCCCTCCAAGCCCAGGCGAGCCCCTGGCCTGCTTAGCTTCAACATGAGGTTTCTAGAGGATGGGACGGGAACCGCGGCGTGAGGGTCCCATCTGGGTTTGGCGGTCTCTGCCTGGGTGGATCCATTCTGGAAGCTCCACTGCAGAGCCGGCAGCGAAGGGGTGACCCTCACAGCCCAGAACTTGGGCGCAGAAGGTGCTGGCAGGCGGCGGGGGGGTCTTTGGTCCGTGGCGGCGCTTCCCTGAACGGGGAGGGGCCCGCTGGTGATCCGGAGCGGGGGGAAGAGCCACCAGGGAATACCTGGATCCGCCGGGACAGGCGGCCTGGAGCAGCGGCGGCAGCACCGAGCGGGCTCCGCCGGTGGGACGGAGGGAGCCGAGGACGTGACTGCGCTCCTGCCCGCAGTCTTTGTTTCGCGTTTAATTTATATGCAAATGAGGAGGGCGGGCCTGCCCCCTCTGTGCCCAGCGCTGCAGGAATATTAATTACTTTCCAAAGGGGGCACGGGGCAGACGGGCACGTCCCTCGCGCGGCATCCCTGGGCGCCGCCCTGCCCCGCTCGCCTTCGTCCCGGCTCGGTTCGGGCCCCCCTTCCCTTCCCCTCCCCTCCCTTCCCCGCCGGCCTTCCGCGTTCCTCGGAGCATCCGCCGCCTCCTCTCCCGGCCCGGATCGCAGCCTCCTGCGCGGGCCCCGCCGCCTCCGCCGAGCGCCCGCCCCGCCCGCGCTCTCGGGCGCCCCTCTGCTCCCCGCGCAGCGCCCCCCCCCCCCCCCCCCCCCCCCCCACTGCCCCTTCGCCCCCCTGCAGGCGGCACTGCCCAGCGGCAGCCGCCACCCGCCCGCCGCTCCCCTTCCCCTTTGCACCCTGGCCCCTTCCCCTGCCCGCGCCTCGCCTCCGCCCGCGCCCACCGGCGCCCAGGGCTGCCCTGCGCCCCCCGCCGCACTGCTCGCGGCCCCCCGCGCCCCCCTTGGGACTGCCCGAGAGCAGCCTCTCCTGCGCCGCTCGCCCGCCCGGCCCCCCTCGCCATCTGCACGCCTTCGCGGCCACTTCTCCAGTCCTGCGCCCGCCTGCCCGCCCCCTTCTGCCGGCGAAGCAGCGGGCGCCACCCGAGCGTGAAACAGCTCAAGTGCTGGTAATTGGCGCCCTCGCCGCCGCGCCTGCTAATGGACTGACGCCCCGTGGCGCGGAGCCGGGAGGGAAGGCCGCGCGGGCGGCGGGGAGCGCGGCTGGGAAGGGGCGCGGGCGCCGGGCGGGCCGGGGGAGAAGCGGCCGGCGGGGGCGAGGCCTCGCACGCGCGGGCGGCGGGCGGATCCGGCGCGACCGAGCCGGGCGGCCGTGCGCCGGGCCTTCCGCCAGCGTCGCCCCCGCCTCGGAGATGCCAGTTAAGATAAGCGCGCACAATGGCGCGGTCGCCGCCAAGGGCGCCCCGGCGGCGGCGAGCGCGGGCTGCCTGTCCCCGCCGTCGGGAGGGGCGGCCCTCTTGGGGACGGGGCCGCGGGGGCTCCGGGGCGCGCCCCCCCCCGGCCAGGCCGGCCCCCTTTGGAGGCTCCCGCGCCCGCCGTGGCGCCGCAGAGGCCGAGGGGGAGCCGCGACAGGCGGCCGGAGAAGCGCCCCTTCGCGCCGCGTTTGCACGCTCCCGGCCGCCGCCTCCGTGGCAAGCGCTTGCAGCCCTGCAGGAGCCTGGAGGATGAGAGCAGAGGCCAGGCTGGCGGAGCCGGCGGGCAGTGGTCGCTTCCTCGCTGCTGCGTCCGGTCCCGCTCCGCCGTTTCACACGTGCACGCGTGTTCGCGGGTATTCCCACCCCCCACACACACTTGCCTGCTCCCCTGCAACAGGCTTCCCTGGAACTGGCCCCCCATGTTGCCGCACACCTCCAGTACCCCAGCCAACAGGCTGCCCAGCACACCTGGAGAGGTTGTAGCCCAGGAGTAAGGGGTGCCCCCTGCTCGCATCAGGGCACACAGTACTCAGGACCAGCTGTGTGACATTGGTCGGTGAGGCAAAAGAGTCCAGCAACACCCTTCCTCAGGAATGCCGCAATGATCAACAGCTTCTTTTCGTGACACCCAAAATCCCCCTTACTCTGCCCTGTAGCAGCGTTGGCCCTGAGGACTGCTGGACACAAACGGGTGGATCGTGGCTTGTCTCTCCTCCGTACACATTTAGCCAACCCCATCCTGGGCTTGCTATGCATCGGCCAGCTTTCTCGGGTGCTCCCCTTTTCGGCTGCCCCTGCTCGGGGCCATCCCTCACTCACTCCGAGCTGGCTGATGCCGGCCCAGGGCTCCCGCCTCTCTCCATCGTGTTGCTGCAGTGCCGTCTGTTCCACACCGACATACGCTGCCTTGTGCTGGGTCATGCGGATTGGCTCAGGCTGGTTTGTTACCAGTGATGCAAATGACTATTTTGCCATATGGGTAAGTTATTTCCTCTGCATCATGTGTGGTGCTTCTTGATACAGAGGCTGGCTCCCCTTCCAGATCAAGCCTGGTGCCACTTGGGGAAGGCCCACGCGGCTTCGTCCTGGCCCAGGTGGCCTTCTTTGCACATGACACCCTGCACCATCCTCCCGGCCACACGTTGCCGTCTCTGCACTGGCGGAATGAATGTGTTAATTCCAAAAGTGGGCTATCGCTGCTTCGGGTGGAGCGCGAAGGCCGGTCTGTCCTTGCTGCACTTCTTCAGCGTCTCCGTCCTCGTCGGGCATGGGCCCCAAGCCCCGATAGACTTCGCTCAAGTCTTCCCGTGAGATGCAGACCCAACCAGTTGGCCGGACGTGGTACAGGTCCACGTTGCCCCCAGAGTAGGCATCTCGGTGGGCAGCGTGAGCCACCGCTTGGCGGGCGAGGAGGAAGGCCTCTGCGCGTGGCAGGTCATAGCGGTAGCTGCCATCCATCACTCCGTAGGCGTAGGGGGAGCCGGAACCGACAGAGAAAACATCCCCGGAGAGACAGGTGCCGTCGCTGTAGACGTAGTGCAGACCGGGCCCTCTGTGGTCCCAACCGCACAGCAGGGTGGCCACGCACAAATCCTCGTTGCGGCACCCGCGCAGCAGCGAGGCCAGCAGCTTGGCGGCCCCAGCGACGCTGGGCCGGCGCCCCTCACGCAGCTCCCGCAGGCGCAGGGCGCAGCGCAGGAGCCGCAGCCAGCTGACGCAGTCGGCCGAGGTCCCGGATGTGGTCGCCAGGAGGTGAGGGTGGAGGGTGATGACCTTGCGGGACGACGGATCGGCCACGAGCCCCGCACAGGAGGACCGGGTATCCGCTGCCACCACCACCCCGTGGCTGCAGCGGAACGCCAGCGTGGTCGTGCCGTGGGAAAGCGGGAAGGGCGCAGGGACCACCACCCCGCCTGGTGGGGGCAGGGGCCAACTGGGGGCTTGCAGAGCAGTGCCCGCCGTCCCCAGCATGTCCTGGAGAGCCATGGGGGAAGAAAGATGGAAGCAGCTGGAGAAGGGGCCTTATAAGTCGAGGCAGGCGGCTTGTAAGGGGTGGGGAGGGAGAAAGGAGGATTGAGGCGGGAGGAAAGGTGATAGTCGAAGGCAGAAAACAGAGCAGAGAAAGGTGCATCTTTAAGGCCAGGTGACAGGCTGGGACCTGCTTTTGCCACGGATTGTTCCCAAGGGGGTTTTTTGTGCCTGTTTTAGCTGAGAGGCAAGTGAATGGAGCAGAACCTGTTCCTGTACATATTTACTTATAGTAGTACATTCCCTCAAGTTCGAAGTGGGATGCACCCACATGTGAACGAGTGGAGAGCCAGTGTGGTGTAGTGGTTAAGAGCATGGGGCTGGGACTCAGAGGATCTGGGTTCTAGTCCCCGCTCAGCCATGGAGCCAGCTGGGTGACTTTGGGCCAGTCACAGACTCTCAGCCCAGCCTACCTCACAGGGCTGTTGTGGGGATAAGATGGAGGAGGAGACTGATGCAAGCTGCCTTGAGCCCTTTGTAGGAAAAAGGCAGGATATAAATCACAATATAAATAAATAAATACAGGATTGCGGGGCTAGAAGGGGCAACAGGATGCTAATCACAGAGCCCATGTAGTGAGGTGACAAGAGCAAAAGCTGGGACATTTTGGGATAACACCAGGTTGCTGTCCTCTTCCTCAGTTTCCAGAGGAAGATGGCCATGAAAATACTTTTGCAGCAACATATGCTCTTTCATAAACGTTAGTCTTCAGAACAGCCAGAAAAAAACGGAAGGCTGCACCCCTAGCCCCGCTTCTGCCAGACACAGTGTGTCTGACACCCGATGACACATGCACAAGGCCGAGCTGTTAGAAGTGCCTCACATTTCTGGACTTCAGCTTTCGAGATGGCTTGACTGCAAGCGCAGGTGAGCAAATCATACCTATTTTATTCTGGCAGCAACTGCGGTGCTGGATAAAAGGCAGAAATGACAAGGCTCCTTCTCCGTGGAAGCTGTAATCAACTTTTATATTTGGGCCCCTGGGACATGGCTTTAGGACAGTCTCTTGAGAGCAAACTGGCAGCTGGCGTTATATTGCCCGACACATCAAATATGCTTTTGACGCATGTAATTTAGCTCATAATAAATATTGCTTTGTTTACTTAGCTTCTCATCTACCGTTTATCGGCAAGGATAGATCAGAATGGCAGCAACGCAGGTTCGGCAGCGGCTGAGACAGCTCGGCCTGGTGTAGGGAAGGACTGCAGACTGAGGAGGGTTGTCTGCCCCCGCTTCCCTTCCCTCCATCCCTGACTGAAGGGAGACGCTGCCATGTCAGCAGCCGTTACCCTCAACTGCCTCCCCTACTTTCACCGATACGGGACGCCGAGTCCCCCAGCAGCGTCCACCCAGCGTTTGGGAGGGGAAAACATGAGAGTCTTGACACATGCAAGCACAGAAATGGGTGTGAAGACTGAGGGGGGGGGACAGTGGGCAGTTCCATTGCACGGAGAGTCGGAAGGGATAATTTTGCCCTGCCTGACAGCAATCCTGGTTTCTCTCTGGCTTGCACTCTCAGCACTTCATTTCTGTTCTACTTCTAGAAGGGCTTCTGCAATGACAGAGAGTGCATTAGCTCAGTAGTGTCAGATTCAGTCAAGTGCTCTGGAAGATTCTGAAGCTGTTGCTAGCATTTCCCGAGAACCAATGCTAAAGGGTCTCTCTGTTATTGCAAATGCATCTATAGCCATTCTGCACAAAATTAAGCCAGAAAAAGCACAACAACTGGGAAAGAGAAGAGTGTTACAGAGAGCGGCTTGGATTTCGGCATGGATGAGAAGCATCGCTAGTGCAAATACTACAGGTAAGTTGAGATTGTATTTTGGATGGAGGGGGTCTGGAGGGCAGAAATGGAATTTGCGTATGCAGATTGTGTGGCTGTGACGATGATGAAGAATACAAAGAACACGGGCTGCAGGTTATATATTCTGTGTGCATAAAAGTGTTCCCCCCACCAAAAAATGACTTCAAACAGCAATCTCTGATTTATTTTAACTTATATCTTTGCCTACCAGGGCCAGCTCCACCTGCCAGCAATCTATTGAAGCCAGGAGACCTTCTAGTTCCTCACTCACACTCATAATATTCCCTGCCCACTCCCAGCAAATGCACACGGTATAATGCCTTTCCACAAGGTTGTTACAAGGCTGAAAAAGAAGAATTATGTAGGGGCCTATATTCAGGAGGATGCTGGATGGCATCACTGCTCACAGGCCTCCCAGAGAAGCCAGTGTGTGAAAGCACACACCCAGACCCATCCTAGAAGCAACGGTTAGCTAACCATGTCAAGAAGTGGATGAAGAGGGCTGCTATCAAATACGCAGAGACCCTGGCTGCTGCCTGACCTTTATGGACGTCCATATTAATAAAAGAGGACCTGGGTCCATCTGTCCGTGTGCCCACCCGCTCTGCAGCAGCAAGACCATGAACCTGGGACACCTGCCACTTAATATGCATCCTAAGGGGACCTTAGGGATCTAACCCCAGGGCCTACTTTGTTTTGGAAACACGTTAATTAACATTAATGAACGCAAGGGTGACCAAGTGGTTTGCAGCCTGCGGTAACAGCTTCAGCCACAGGAAGCAGGCTTCCAAAACCAGAGCGTAGCTTTGCAGTCCACGCATTTTGATGCCATGGGAGAGGAGCAGGGAGAGGGGCCTCTGTATGGCTTTCCACTGCCCCCTCGTTGTGAGACCTTGGGGAACAAAGTGGACAGACCCTCTGCTCGCTCCACATTCTGTAAGGCCAAGCCACCCTCTGCAGCCCTTGCGCCAAGTCTACCTCCCCGCTGCCTCTGTTGCTTTTCCTCTTCTCATCACTGCTCCCTTGCTTGGCAGGAAGCAGTCAGATCTCCAGCTCCTCCATCACCACCTGCATTTCCTGGGGCACAATGAGAAACGGGGCATGCGGGTTCCAGCGGCAAAGAGGAGCAAGTCAGAGGAGCTTGTGCTGGTGTTTAGACCCTTGGCCGGGGCCTTATTATGCCTTGCTTTGATGTCAAGCCTGCATAGGTCCTTTTCCCTTTGGGGGCTAGACAGGTGCGACGTGGCAGGAGCTGGGTCTCGGGGTGCCTGAGGTCGTGCCTTCATTCAAGCGGGGGTGGGCAGGAGAATGACAGCTACCACATTCTGCTTGCAGGCTTCGCTTGTCAAATTAGGCGTTACTCTAACTAGTGCAAAGTTCTCACTACTCTAGTTCCAACCATTCACTCGATAAACTCCATTCTAAATAAGAGAAGCACCAGTGCAGTGCAGTGGTTAATGGGGCAGAACTGGGATTCAGGAGACCTGGCCCTGCCGCTCAGTCATGGAGCCAACTTCGGGCTGGTTGCAGACTCTCAGCCCAGCCTACCTCACAGGGTTGTTGTGGGGCCAAGACTGAGCAGAAGTATGATTTAAGTCACTTTGAGTTTGTTGTAAGAAAGCAGGATATAAATCTAGCAAATAAATTACCAGTGGATTGCATTGCTTAAATGCTATCGCAAATACTGCTGTTTACAATTTTTAGCTAATTGCTTGTGTATTTGACTTCCACGGGATCATGAGGCAGTGAGTTTCACAGGACACAATCTTCACCTGGTTGCACTCTGCCAAGTAAGCGTACTCTCTTCGCGTTCGTTCATCCTTGTTCTTAGCTTCTCTGAGTGCTCTGAAAGTCAGGCTCATTTTGTTCCCTTTGCTTCCCATCCCCAATATGACACTACCCAGAGGAAACGAAGATGGTGACGGCCGTATTTCCTTTCCCTGCTATTGGGCAACCGAGGCCGGATTTGCCCTCACTAAAGGTGGCGTCCACGCCTTTACCGAGGCCGGCCAGTCATACGTTTCGCCCACTTTAAAAATGGCGAGGAAGACCTCGCGAGCGCGACTAGACGCGCGAATGAAGCCGTGCCAGGATGGCGCCCGCAGCTGTGGTGCGCAGACACTTCGGGCAGGCTTGCCCTCAGCCAACATGGCGCTCGGAGCCTATATAACAGCGGGCTGTGAGGCTTCCCTGAGTCACGGTGATCGCCCGGACTCAAAATGGCGCTCGCCAGTCTGCTGGAGCCGCAGATGCCCGTGAACAAGCCTGGCTTCTTCGGCCTGGGAGCCGGGACCGAGTTTCGGCTGCCCGCGCTCGGCGCTTGCCGTGGGGGCGGGCACGAGGCGGGGGGTCCGGCGGAGGGCCCCCCGCTGGCGTTGGCCGCCCCTGGCCCCGGCCTGAGCCGGTGCGCCGCTGCGGGGGCCGCCGACCTCGAGCTGCAGCACGGCACGACCACGTTGGCCTTCAAGGTGGGCGGCGAGGGGGCCCGGGGGGCCCGGCTCGGAGAGGAGCGGGGCTTCGTAGGTCCCCGGGAGGGCTCGGTGGTCGTCGGGGAGGTGCTCGGAGTACATCGTCGCGGTGGGAGCGAATCTGGAGGGATGCGGGGCCTGGATTTAAAGGGGGACCCGGTTGGTGGGGGGTGCGCGCCGTTGCGGTTGAGGGTGCGAAAGGGAAGGTGTGGGGTTGGAAACGAAGGAGCTGCGAGGCCGTGCCTCTGTGGTGCTGGGATGGGCCTGAAGGGTGCTTGGGGTTGGGGGCTTGTGCTCGATAAATGGGCGGCCGCAGTCGTGGGTTATGAGAAATGTGGCCGAGGATGGCACGGCCTGGGAGCAGGAACGTGTGTGAGGGAAGGAGAGGCACGGGCTCTGGCCTGTGATTCCCATTATTGCTCAGCATTGGCAGTACTGGCAAGAGCAGATGAGAGTTGCAGGCCAAAACAGCTGGAGAGTCGCTAGTTCTATCGCTGTCCCGCTTTTCACCTTCCTAACAGGAAGTTGGGGTGGTTTATGTAGCCCTCCTCTTCATTTCAATCTTACACCAGTCCTGCGAGGTAGGTGAAGCTAAAAGTCTGTAACTGCCCCAAAGTCACCCAGTGTGTTTCTGTTTGAGGGATGACCAGAACCCAGGTCGCTAATGCTCTAACCACTATACCATACTGCCTTTTTAAAGTTGGGCAACTAATGAATGATGGCAACCAAAGTCAAAAACAAAACGGCTAATATTATATTGCCTTTCTACAAATCGGTGGTATGACCACACTTGGAATACTGTTTCCGGTTCTGGTCACTCCCCCTTAAGGATCCCAAAAAGTGGAAAATTGTGGAAAGGGGCAACCAAATGGTCAACTTGCAACTTTCCTGTGTTGGAAGTTTACAACATCTGGGGCTGTTAGGAAAGAGCTGAGTGAGGGGGGACATGATAGAGGTGTACAAAATTACACCTTGTGTGGGAAAAGTGGACAGTGAGACATTTTTCTTGTAATACTTTCTTAAAGCTGCTTAATGGAACATTTATTTATTTAGTCATTCATTCCGGATATATATTTAATTGTGTTCAGGAAAGACGAAAGGAAGTACTTCATAGCATTCATGGGGAAACTGAACCAAATCCAGGGCTAGATGATGCTTTTCTCTGATCCAGAATAGCTCTATTTATGTTCTTCAGTTTTGCCTTATATGACTTCAGCTGCCCTTGCTAAAAATGATCCAGGGTTACTTTAAGACTGTTGCCCGAGTTTTCAAGAGAGGTACCTAAAATCATGGATTCTGTCATTTACCTTGCCCTTGTAAACATCCTTGTGGAAGTGGGATGCTTGAATTACACCTCTGATAGAGTTTGGTTTAGCAGTCATATTTAAGACCAAGATGGGCAGCTGTCACTTTGAATTGTCAAGTTGTCTTGGGAATGGACCGTCTTAAGTTGGAATCTTCTTGGGGATGTGGGAGGAGCGATGCCGCCGCTTGGATTGCCAGCAATCCAGCCTGTGAGTATCTTTTGTGGGCTATTCGTGACCTTCGCCTTTGCTTTCTCCTTCCTCCAGTTTCAGCATGGTGTGATTGTCGCAGCGGATTCACGGTCCTCCGCAGGTGTCTACATCGCTTCACAGACCGTCAAGAAGATCATCGAGATCAATCCCTACTTGCTGGGCACCATGGCCGGCGGTGCAGCCGACTGCAGCTTCTGGGAACGGCTGCTGGCACGGCAGTGCCGTATCTATGAACTCCGCAACAAGGAGCGCATCTCTGTAGCTGCTGCCTCCAAGCTCTTGGCCAACATGGTGTACCAGTACAAGGGCATGGGGCTCTCCATGGGCACCATGATTTGTGGCTGGGACAAGCGAGGGCCAGGTGAGAATACTGCATTTCTCCTAAGGGGTTTTTCAAGGCCTGACTCACTGCCCGCTCTTGCAAACCCCAGCCAGTTATAAACCTCACCTTTCCCAGTTGTTTTATTTTAAAACGCCATGCCCATCCTTATTTCTAAGATGCTAAATTTTAATTATAATTATTTAACTAATTGTTGTAAGTCGCCCCGAGGCTTTGGCGAATGGGGCGGCATAAAAATGTTTTAATAAATAAATAAATAAATAAAATGTTCTAGGTTGCTTACAACACGGGCCATAGTTCAGTTCCAAGTATCCTTCCAATTCACAACATAACATAAAACAAAACAGCACAGGCGCGGTCAAAATACTTAGGTATGAAGAATATAGTACAATTAAAACCACAAATTAAATTTAGATAGGGAATGCATGCCTTCTTGTATAAAAAAATTATATATGGACCAGTTTCCAGAAAGTTATTCATGAGCTAAGAATAGAGGAGCCTCTCTTGGAAGACCATTCTAGATGGAATATTGCAGTTTCTCTTGCCAGGGTCTTACCTGCCCCAACGCTGTGCCAGTAGCACTTGAATCCTTTGTTGCAGTTGTGGGAAGTGCTCTACAGATGGTGACAAATGACTGTGTGAAGTTTGTGGTTGCAGTCATCCTCTGAAGTGTTCTTCAGAATTTGGGGGGCTGACCATCTCCCAGTTGCAGCTTTTCCTTTGGGCTGCCTTCCCAGATACTTCAGACACTGGGTTTTCTAGGCTCGGGCTTTGAGCTGGATTCTGTTTTGTAGCTTCACATTTGACTCTGCAAAGAATACATGTGGCCACTTGCTGGTGCCATGAAGCCTATTTTTCTTTGATCATCAGACAATTTAAGTTAGGGAAAGTCGCAGGCCGAAGAACAAAGCCGTAGCCTTAAATTTACAATTCCCGAGTGGGTCTGTCAAGGACAGGCTGTGCTGCAAGGTGGTTGCTCATAGGCTCACCATAAGTGGGAGGTGATTTGAGGGCACATCAAAATGGATGCCAGGATAGCATAAATAAGTGTACAGCTGTGTAGGGAGGTGAAGCAAGTAATCGTGCTGAATTTACCCGGAAGACATTCGAGATGCAGCTGGAAGGTTGTCTGAGAGGGGTAGCTTACCTTGGATTACCTGCATTAAGCAGGGGGTTGAACCTAAGGGCTGCCTTGGTCCCCTCCCTTTCCTCGAATTCCGTGCAGATAAATTACTGTAGAAGTGGCTGACAATATTTTGTGTTACTTGTTTTTATTCCAATGCAGCTTTACTTTGCAAACTTTAAAAAATGGTGACAGAGGTTTTTTAGAAGAATTAATATAGTTACATTTATGTTCTGCCTTCCAGCATGGGAATCAAGCAGTGTACTTAGAATACACAAATGTTTTCCTGTTGGGGCATTGGGCAGATCTCTACATGAGCTATAATAAGATAACATCATTGTATAATTCAGAATGCATCCTGGTTGTGCTTCCATAAGACAGAGGTGACAGGTGGGACTTGAGGGTTTGGTTCTGCCATGGCTGCTTTGATATAGTATGTGCCCCCCAAGATGGATCCTGTTAGGTTGTCTGTACTAGAGTGGACTAGTTGAGAATAATCATCATAAATCGTCAGGGCTGACAGCTTATTGTCTACAGAGCCTTATCTCTGGAAGCGCTTAGAGCATTCCATTGTATTAGTGTGACACCGTAATGCAGCGGCACTCTGCTGCAAGCACAGATACATCAATTCTACTCTTTCCTATTTGTACAGCACAGCATTAGGTCATTCTGGTTGTTGCCTTAGAGAAATGCCATTGCTGTGAGGCTCTTTAGCTTGCCTGTCCTGTCTCTCCCCAAAATTCTGTTCTTGGGCCACTGACCACATGTTCAGGATTTCATATAGTGGGGGCAAACTTCCAGCTTGTGAATTCTGCTTTGATTTTTTTTACTTAAACTCTGAAACTTACGAACTAAAGCTACATTAAAATAGCAGGTCAGGTGGGGAGACATTTACTAGGAATTCAGGACCAGGCATCTTTGATCATGTGCTTAGCTAGATTTTTACCAGAATTCTACTCACAAGTCGTTCCGCACAAAAATCTGCCTTAGTCTGTCCTGCCCCACCTCAGCATATCTGTTCACCAATGAAATTCCGAAATGGAAGACATTTTAGTTGTTGCTATCAGACAGTTGGTTGTCTGAAACCTTTGGAGATCTATTGCAGATCCCCCAAGCATCTCTCAGAGGAGCTTGATTTACTGAAGGATCTCCACTCGCCTTGAATAAGACTGTCAGATCTAGAGATGTATGTTGCGGCTATTCCTGTGGAAGGGAAAAGCCCCAATATTCAAATTAAGGTTTCTAAGCAAGCAGTATTGCTCCTGGATACATATGCTAGCAAACCATGACAGGGTAACCCTCTTGGATTCTGGCACCAGTTCGGTTCACTGGAGCAGAGAATTCCGGGGCAAAAGTGCTTGGATCCTTTTCCAGCCTTCAGTACAATATTCACAACTGTAGCTCCTCAAAAAAAATTAATTAAAATTAAAAACCTGACAGTCCTTTGACTTCCTCCTCAGCAGCCAAGATGCTTATGCTTTCTTGCCTGTGGTAATAGCTGACCTTCTGGGTTTTCCCATTGCTATATTTCCTTTGGATGTTGTATGTCCACATGCTTAGGTGCACATGTGGTATTGCAAGGAAATGTAGTGCTGGGAAGGTACTGCTTGGGGAGAAGCTCAGTGAACTGTTGAAGATTGTGGGGCTTTACGATGGTATCAATATTTTGGTTGGTGAAACGGATATTTGGAAAGGGTGAAGGGCAAGCAGAGCTACTGATGTGCAGTAACGACAAATACGTGGCTCGCCCCAGTAACCCCGATTCTCCTATCCTGCCTTACAGGTCTGTACTATGTGGACAGTGAAGGGAACCGCATCTCGGGCACGGTTTTCTCTGTGGGCTCCGGGTCTGTCTATGCCTACGGGGTGATGGACCGTGGCTATTCTTACGATTTATCGGTTGAGGAAGCCTACGATCTGGCCCGCCGTGCCATCTACCAAGCGACATACCGTGATGCCTACTCCGGAGGCAATGTCAACCTCTACCACGTACGCCAGGATGGCTGGATTTGTGTCTCCAGTGACGATGTGTCCAAGCTGCGTGAAATCTACCAGGACACAGCTGCAGGCACAGTGGCTTGAGATGGTGGACTTTGTGGGGACGAACATGGTCCTGTGGGAGCTGTGGGCTGTGGGGAGCACATGATACTATCAAGAGAGGAGGGACTGGGTCAGGCATTAAGCAGATGGGGGAAGCGTGTCCAGCGGGATGGTGACGGCCCCACGGCCTGGTCGTTGGGTGGCAGAATGTTTATCTCATGCCTGGGGCCTGCGTTTCCTGTAGCAAAACATTTTGCTTGTACTGAATTAAACTTTCACTGTCTGAACAGTTTTGTGTCCTCACTTAACGGACCAGGGTGGGCAAGATGAATGCTGGCTACTCCAGTCCCATCAGAGGTGTTTTGCTGGCTCTGAATTCTTGCCGGCGAAGGGATGCCCTGGGGGGCGGGGGGGGGGGAGAATGCCGGCTGGTTGTGTGGGCGTGAGCATGGGACTGGGGAGATAAATGTCTCTTGAAAGTTTTGTTTCTAGGCGGAAAACCCAGAAGGTCACCTCTTCCCACAGGCATTGAAGCCTTGTCTGTGCTGCAGCCGAGGGAGGGAGGAAGTCAAACAACTGTTAAATGCCTCCTTCCTTTCCCATATGATTTCTGCTGTTCCCTTGACTTGTGTTACCTCGTTCTCCGTGTGCCATGGCCATGCTCATGGTAACTCCAACGCTTCACCCTTCCCGGGGATCCTCCACCGTCTGTGCTTTTCTTTGGCATTGACAACAGTTCGTGCTGCCTTTAACCCGTTCTAGCACCCTCGCCAAGCATAAGCCTTGCAAATCCTTTTACGCGCTGTTGGATTCACTGGTTCCCACCCAATTGACGCGAAGGCTGTGTGTGCAATGTATAGAGCATAATGTGAACAGAAAAGGTTATTCCCAGCTGCAGGGCACCCGGGACAGAAGGAACAAGGCCGGCTGCGATGGAGGTGTGGCTGAGTACAAGGGAGGAAAAACCCCTCGCAACTTGGTTAAATCCCCCTTTTCCCCCTCAAGTTTTCCTCCATGCTCCTGACAAGGGGGGCGGGCAGGTGTGTGGGAAGAAATGAAACGGCCACAGGAAGGTACAAAAGTGTGGAGGATGGACTAAGGGTTTTTTATTTTACCGCTGTAGAGAGGGAAAAGGAAGAAAGGAATTCGAGCAGGGGAAGGAGCAAATGGGGGAATACAGAGAGACACACTGTGTACTTGAGCCAAGGTGATCCGTGATACAAGAAAGAGAAACGGGCTGGGGAAGGTAGAGGTGCCTAACAGGAAGGATCAACCAAACACCAAAAGGTGTTTGGAAAGAAAAGAGTGCCACGGATCAAAGGGGAGGCAGCAGCGGGAGAAAGGAAGGAGGAAAAAGCAGCTTGCTTGTACATGTCCAGGAGAGGGAAAACGGGCAGTCCCCAGCCATTTTGGGTGTCCCCTGCGGGGGCCCTGCTTAGGAATGCGTGTGCAGCTTTGGTGTGTGTTTGTGTGCCTGCAGGAGATTGGCCAATCAGGGCAGAAGGGGGGAGCATGGGGGTGTGGCACTTGGCAGCAGGGTGCACATCCTCCCCTTTTGCACACACGCGAATACAAAGAGCCGCACGACCTTCCAGTATCCTTTTCCCAGGGACGGTGGGGAGTGGGGATGGACTGGGGCGGGGAGGGGAGGGGGGAAGCCGGGGATGGCGGAGGGATGGGAAGGGGGGGTACCCCAGCCGTCCCTCGTTTATTTGGCCTTGCCAGGGAAATATACGACAAGTCGGGGAAAGGGTTGTACGTGACAGAATGAGGGAGGGAAGCGGGAGAGCAGAAATATGCTTGGCAGGAAAGAGATGTACATGCAGGTAGGGAGCGACTATCTGGCTCTATGTACATGGATACAATAAAGATGGGGTGAGGAATAGAGATGGGTATACTTCCAAGAATGGATAAGTGATGCAGGGATAGGAAAGGCAGGAAGAAACTGGCTCAGATACTACAGATGAATTATCTGTCAAAGCACTTTCAGTGCCCCATGCGGCTTTAAAGAAATCTCTACATTCTATTGTGGGGGAAGTAGAGATTCTAATCAGAAGTGGAGGTCGTTAATCACAGCTGGTATTTATTTCAGATGGAGAAAAGAATATGAGGATCGGTATGTGCTGTTCCAAGGAGAACAGGGCATTTCAAGAACAATGTCTAGAAGAATTAGTGGAGAGTTGAAGGCGTGAATATACCAATTAGGCATCCAAGGGGTGTGTTTACATGGTCAGCCTTGCATGGATTTCCTTTGGAAGTTTAATCCAGTATATCTTGCCTCAATTTAATCTTGCTTTTGTTTGTAAAAGACAATGGTTAGAGAATGACAGGGGGCTGATTCAGTATCATTTAGGGTGACATTCCCCCTTTGATGCACAACTGTCATTCTTTTGTTCCCACAGTCTGGGTACTTTAAAAAGCAGTGAAGGGGCCATTTTTCCTTGCCTCAATTGTTTAATTTGGATTAGTGAGTGGGAGTAAATAAACAGGTGATGATTGTCATTCTGAACTTAAATTAACCTGGCATAAAAGGGTATTCTAGGTGCATGTAACTTAAGGTGCCACGGCAGAGAAGTAACCATGGGAACAGGGCACAGAGAGGTGCAAGTTAATAAACCAGAGGATCTGTACATTTTGCACAGTAGGGTTGTGTCAGGAGTTTGGGAAATAGACAGGCCTGCAGATTAAAAAAAAAGAACAATAAATGTGTCCACCAGGTTTGTGAGAGTAAATTCACAAGGGAAGGTGTGATAAACAGAATTTTAAAGCTGCCTTGACACACAGGAACACATTGGGGGCAGTTCTGGTAATTGAAGATGCTACCAGAGGGAGGAATAATGGAAAAGCAGGTGTTATCAGGAAAACGTGAGTTTAAACTGAAGAGTTCTGATCTGAGGCAAGGATGGAGAGTCCTACAAGTCTCTTTGTTGGAATGACCTTGCCTAGGGCATCTGTTGGGGTGGTTTGTGCCGTGAAGGGTGATAAGACTTGGGCTAAAAAGTGATCCATTTTTTAGTGACTTCTGAGTGCCACTTTACCTCAAGGCCACCTTTGTGGAAATATTTGTGATGATAGGGCAATCCTTTATCCTCTACAACGTTGGACGTTTGAAATCGTGGGCATCTGGTACAACACAGTGGCTAGATGGGCGATTGAGGAAGAGCTGGGCTTGCCAGTCTTCAGAGGGTCAGCTGCAGACAAATGAACAACAACCAAGCGTCTTGTGGCACCTGAAAGACTGCCACTAATTTATTCTGGCAAATGCTTTGGTGGGTTATAGATTCATTAAGTGTGACAAGAAAAGGGGTGCGACTCCCAGCATGCCCCAAGCGGTTTTCTGTCTGTCTAAAAGGGCACAGAATGGCGCCCTTTCCTCTTTCAGGTGCCTGTTATTTTGGCCCCATAATGGACGCCTTTGGCAGGGGGCGAGCCGCGAAGGGGTCGCGAGGCAGCCTCGGGAGCGGCGCCCGGCCTCACAGAACTCCTCAAAGAGCCCCTTCTCGTCCCCGTTCCTCCCCCCTCCCCTTTCTCCCCGCCCGCGGGCCGAGGCGCCACACGTCGCGGCCAATCGGCTCCCTCGGCTCCCTCGCGCTAGCCAATCGGAGGAGGACGGAGGGCCGTCCCGTTCGTACACGACGGCGGAGCTCGCGCCGCATCCCCCTCGCGCCCCGCCCCCGAGCTGCACACGCGGGGATGGAACGCTGGGGAGCGCAGGGTTCCAAAGTGTTGCGCGCGCCCGCTCCTCCCCCCCCCCCGGAACCACGCAGGCCCCTGGCCTGTCGCCCACCCGGGGCGCGTGGGATTTAAATATGCGAGCCGAGCAGCCTCGGGCATAACCTCCGCAGTGACATTTGCTTTGGAAGCGGGGAAGGGAAATCGGCCCCGGAGCTGCTCAACGGTGGGGCTGCAGGATGCTTCACACACTCCCTCTCCCGGTCAGGGAGTGCTGCGAAATGTCTATGCATTAAGGGTTGTTTGCAGGCGGTAAGAGAGGTGCTGTGAAAGAACCGCGCTCGTTCGAGGGTTCCGTGCGGCTGAAAGTTTAATTGGTGCGACCGCAACTTTGCAAAGCCGGAGCTAGTAGAACGGATAGGCAGTGTGCCCCTAGAAATGCATTTCTCACTCTTTTTCCTGAAGTGAACCAATACAGTTTATATAATCCATTGCATTTTATCAGCATAACAACCCTGGGAGGTAGGCCAGGCTGAAAGTCGGTGCCTGCCCTCAAGACATCCTGAGAGTGTCACGACCACGTGGGGACTGCAGCCGGGCCTTTGAGTCCCTGTGCAGTGTTCCCACCCTTTGCTATAAAGATACTCATCTTTCTTGGTGTCCACCTTTCCCGATTTATAAAAACTTTTTTTTTAATGTCAGGTTTGATTCAAAGTGAAGAATCATGCGCCCCATAGCTAGTCTGTTACGGTTGTGTTCAGAACAGTTTCTCCTGTTTGTAAAGATGCTCACAGGCTCATCTGTGAACCAGGTGGAGTTTTTTTTTTTTTCCAGTACCTTTGCAAAGAAGTTAAAGTGGGGATTGCAAATCCTGGCCTGTCAGCTTCAAGATGAATTCTTTCCAAGACTCAACTGGCAAGATAATCAGAAGACATGGATGGCTTAGACAGAATAAGATTTAGAAGAGGGTAGGTCAGCTGAGTGCAATTCAAATGTGCAGGCAGGCAGAATACTTATAGGTTAAAAATGCAGGGAACAGGGAAAGACATCGGAATGAGGGGCAGAGTATAAAGGGACTCGTCTTAGTTCTGTTGGCTTTAGCTTGCACAAGGCAGTTTCAGGAGTTTCAGGAATGTAACAGCAAGACCCTAAAATAAGGGTCTTGCTGTTACATGTGCTAGACCCGTTACATCTTGCTGTTACATGTGCTAAACCGGTGCTAGAACGGGTTAAAGACCCTAAAATCTCAGTATTTTGGATCTTCCGATGCAGGCTTGCTTGGCCCTGCTCCCAGTATTGCTGACTCTTGTTATAGTTAGAAAATGTTTTGTTTTCCTCAACATCCTGTTTTCATAGCAAACATTCCTACGAGCATCATGGGCCTGTCCCCACCACGAAGCACTCAAAACCCGATCCGGAAGCCATTTTGCCTTCTCCAAGAGTACTAGCAGAGAGACTTCCCAAGTCCCCCATCAGCCCCTGTGTTGCCATGTCATTCAGTGCCACCATCTTGTTCTCGCCTCCCAACGCCACGGAAGCAAAGTGCAGCTGTAAGCAGGAACCAGGAGCGCAGGCAGCCGCGCCCCCGCTGCCCCCCTCGTCGTGTACCCCGATCACCGTGTCGGGAAGCGGCTTGGCGGTGCAGTCTTCAGACCAGCTGCTCCATGTGATCTACCAGCGCGTCGAAAAGGCCGTGAGCCTCGCCGAGGTGGCCCTGGGCCTGGCGAAGGCCAACAACGAAGCCCTGAGGCGGCTGGAAGAAGAAATGGGAGCACTGCGCCGGGGAGCACCCCCTGCTCTCAAGGCCAGCCCCTTGTGCATCCCGGAGGAGGGCCAGCAGGACGATGTAGAGGAAGAGGAGGGAGAGCAAGAAGCCGAGGGCTTCAGGAACGGTGTCCAGGTGGTCATTGAAGAGCTGAGGCAGCTGGGCGCGGCGGCCGGGCCCCCTGGGCACCTGGGTTTCTCGCCCGTGCAGCTGGGAACCGGAGGGCTTGGTGGGGTACGTTGGTTGTCAGACGAGGGGCTCCTTTGTCCCTCCCGCCCCGCCGAAAGCACGCCGGCCCCGGGTCCCTCCGGTCAGGCACAGATGGCTTCATGAATATTTGATGGCATCGCTCGCCTTGCCTGCCAACGAGCTGCTCGAGAGAGAGGCGTTCTGGGAGGGGTGCCAAGCCGTGCCGTGCCGCCGTGGCCTGGGGTTGGGGGCCAGGCGAGCGCCGGAAGCGTGCTCGTCCGTGTACGCAGGATGCCCAGGCCGGCTCGGGAAGTCGGGGTGGAGTGGCTCTGTGAGTCAGGTGTGCTGGCCAAGTGGCGAAGGGGGAAATTCTGGTCGGTAGCGCAAGAATGTTTCCTCCTGACACAGGAAAGTGCCTTTGGGCCTCTTGCAGAATTTCAGCCAAGTAAGAACGTTGTCAGTGAGCGAGAGAAGACTTAAAAATCAAACGCACGTTCTGTAGATGCTACATTTGCTTTACAGAGCAATTAAATGGGCTTCTTACACCCTCCTGTGTGCCCTCCCCATTTGTGACGGCATGTGGGAAGCCTAGGGTGACTTTAAGGGCCTGCCAGGGACAGGTTAGGGGTCCCACATGGTGGTTACAGGTTGAGGCTGAGCTGCAGAACTCGGGAGAGATGCAGGTGCAGGTGGGACAGGAGAGGAGCTGCTGCTTGGCCTGAGGATTGTGCAAGTCTTTGTCTCCTCCTCAGGCAGCGGAAGCGCCTCCCGCAGGAGATGTCTCCATGCAGCATGGCCGTGCCACCGCCTCTTCCCCTGCCCCTCAGATGCTTCATCAGCCGCCCCTGCCGGCCCTCGAGGACCCTCTGTCCTGCCCAGAGGTTTCCCCAAACAGCGCCACCCTGGAGGACCCCCTGCACGGCGAGCAGCGCTTGTCCCTGGGCTTTGCCAGTCTTCATTGCAGAAGCCAAAGCATCGGGCAGAAGAATGCGAGGCGCAAGAGGGACCTGGTACTGTCCGTGAGTTGCCTTCCGTAGTTCACTCCTGGCGGCACTCGCTTCTTGCAAGCCACTTGCACCGAACCTGCTGCCGCACGGGCACCGCAAAGCTGATTTTAATTAACCTCCGGGGGCAGGCCGCCCGCACTATTTTAATGCTTTGGAGTTTTGCAGCACTGCTGCTGAGAGTCACTTCTTTCTCAACCATGTTTGTCTCTTCTCCTAGAAACTGGTCCACAATGTCCACAACCACATCACCAATGATAAAAGGTTTGATGGTTCCGAGAGGTGAGCCTGGGCTGCGATGGTTTGATTTGAGAAAGGGTAGGGCTCCCCCATTTGCGAGGAAAGGCCACCTCTACAGGTGCGGCTCGCATGTCACTGTGCCGCAGAGGGAAGGGAAGGAAAGCCGCACAGATCAAAATTGTCTGCTTGACTCCGAGATCTCCAGTGTGGTGTCGGAGAACAGCCCTTGGCTCTCATCCGCTCCATGTACCTCCTGATTTTATTTTTAAGCACTGTCTCGCCAAGATATATTGTTAAGTTGCCATGCCACAAAATGAAGTGACAGCCTCTAGCCCCGTCTTTATGTCCTAGTAAGCATTTGGATCCCATGTGAGTCCCAGATACGTCCTTAGAAAATAAAAATGTCGGCGAGCTACAGCCAAATACGCCCGTTGCAGCAAAAAGAACAGTCTGGTGGCATCTGAAAGACTAACATTTATGATGGCATAGGTTTGTGTCAGCTGTAGTCAACTTCACCAGATGTATGTGTTACCAAGAGTTTCAGGGCTCTGTGTGTGTGTGTGTGTGTGTGTCACACAGGATTAGGGGGTGGGGGATGGCATGGACAGAGGGAAACTAAATGCAGAAAAGGCTATTATTTAGCAATAGCCACTCCCAAAACAGTTGTAGCTGATAACACAAACATTCTGGAATCAGATAAGATAGTTAGCATGCGTAGTGTGATTTGAAAGCAGAAAACACCCCCTTTTCTCTGGATTCAGGCCGTCTCTGCAATAGAACTTGATTTTATTTATTTATTTATTAGATTTATATCCCACTTGTTTTCTTTACACGAGCTCAAAGTGACTGACCTAATTTGCCGCCTCCTGCTTTCAGTCTTATCTCCCACAACAACCCTGCGAGGTAGGTTGGGCTGAGAGTCTGTGACTGGCCCAGAGTCACCCAGTTGGCTCCATGGCTGAGCGGGGACTCGAACCCAAACCAACCGAGTCCCAGTCCCATGCTCTTCACCACTACACCACACTGGTGATGAATTGTAATTGGGCAGACTATCAATCTCATTTGCCTTTGAAGTTTCTTTCCTCCACAGTGGCTATGCTAAGGTCAGCGAGAAAGTGTGCCTGGAAGCTAAGGCCCCTACTGTTCTGGGGTTGCTTTTTAAAAAAATATTGCTATTTCTTTTGTCAGATTTGTCTCCACTTAGACTTTTCTATAGGCTTGGCCTATTTGCTTCGATGGAAGAAAAAATGAATGGGACAATATAACGGTAGATGTCCTCTGCCTCCTGCTTTTAATGCAGTCATGAATGTAGACTACATGCAACATTAGTATATATAGGGTAGCGGGCACAGAGGGGAGTCCATAAATTTACTCTTACTAAATCCAGTTGAGTTCAATGAGGTTTACTTAGAAGTAAGTTCAGGATTGCATACTAAGACTATAACCCTAAACGAATGTACTCTAAGTCTTATTTAAGTTAGTTGACTTACTCATGTGTCAACATGCTTAAGATTGGATTGTGGTACAAGACATCCGAAGCTGGGAATGCTCCTTAGTTTGACTTCTCTTCTTTAAGAGAATGTGGGATGAGTAGATTATGCCAGGCGCTGGGCTTTCCCGGTACTTACCTTTTCTCCCTTTTCCTTTTTATAGCATTAAATCTTCATGGAATATTTCTGTGGTGAAATTCTTGCTAGAAAAACTGAAGCAAGAATTGATGTCTAATCACCATAATTACACTGACAAAGAGCTAAAAGGTAAGGTACAGAGGCATGAAAATGCTTCCCTTAGTCTATTTTTGAATCTTATTTTCAAAATTTTCCAAATTAGAGGCATATCCCTATTTCTTCACTCTTTATGTCTTTAAAAGCCACATTTGTTGGAAATAAAATGAAATTTTGTGGCACTTTGAAAAGAAAGCACCTCTTCACATTGACTCTGGAAGCTACTGGGGACACTTGAACTGTGGATTGTTTATATACACAGAGGCAAACATCTCCTATCTTTCATCTGTGCTACAGTTTCTTCTTTCCGTGCTTCTGATTCCCCCACAATGCCCCCATTTTGTCTGGTTAGGTGCCTGCGTGGCTTACTTCCTGACCAAGCGCCGGGAGTATCGCAACTCTCTCAACCCCTTCAAAGGACTCAAGGAGAAGGAGGAGAAAAAGCTGCGGAGCAGACGCTATCGGGTAAGGCACAACTCCGTGACTCTGCGGAGCACTTCTGTAGATTTCTTTTCTCAAGAGGGCCGTACTGCCACAATACCCGCAGAAAGCAATTTTGCCACTCTTTTCGCCCAAGTACCTTCCTCCATCAATTGTATTCCAAGGCACTTGTAAATAAAGCATTAAAAATCACATTGAAGGACGAATTACCCCAGGATTCTTGCTTAGACCTTATAAAGAAGCAAGTCTGTCGAGCAGATGAAGGAACAGGCCCTCGTACAGCCAGTCCAGTTACAACGAGACCGCACTGGCCCAGTCCACAACAGGATGGCAGCCCTGGGTTTGATTTATGTAAACAAGGTAGGAGCCATATCCAAGGTACTTGATTGCCCCTGCCAGATGGAGTAGCTAAATATCCTGGGGGATTCTGAGTTGTTTAGCCTGATGTTCTTTAGAGTGAAAACTGTCTCCTGGAACAAGCCAGAATTGCAACCTAATGCTTAAAGAAGGGTTGCTGTAAGTCAGGTACGAAAACTTGGTGGCAGGTTACGATAATAACAGCAAGGTAGTCATGACTACTTAAGTCCCCATAGATGCCAACTGATCTACTATAAGTAAGTCCGGAACTAGGCCATGGACCTTCGAAAGTATTACTTCTGTTTAAGGTACTAGACTGATCCATGCACATTCGTTTGTGATTAATTCAGCAGGACTTAATCTAGCAGAAGACAAATTGTACTCATAATGGTGATTAATTGGTTTAATGAGAAAGATCCAGGAGATTTTCTGAGAGAGAATCCATTTGCATCTGAATCATCCATAAGTTTTACCATGTGTTAAAAGGGTTGTAATGTGTGACAAAGGGATTGGTATTGATTAGAAGGGGGGTGGGGCAAAGTGTAAAAAGGATTGGAGAAATTCTCAAAAGGCTTTCATGTGTAGATTTAAAGTCGCTAGACGTAACTGGGGATGATTTACAAAATGTCCAGGGTTTATGGTGACACAATAAGCACCCTCCTCAATCAGTAATGCCCACTGTTTTTTTTTTAAAGACAATATGATCTTATTAAGATGTAGAAGGAAGTTCCATTGAACAAAGCGGACCCTCAGAGTACATAAGCATCTGATAGGCCTATGAAAGGGGAAAATGAGGGAAGAGAGGAACCCGATTCTCTCCGTTACTTGATCGGAGTTGTTAAAATCAAACATCTCAGTCCCACCAGGCTCAGTATTATTGCTGTGCGTTTGTGTGTGTATAAAAAAAAAAAAAAAACCACAGCAGCCAGAAGAGACAGTTTAAAAAAAGACGACGACAGAAGCGGGAAAGGGGATCATTATGTCTGCATCCCACTCGTTTTCCAATCTCATTTATCAAAGCTGTGCGAGTCTTCCTTTAAAAGGAATGAAAAATGAAGCCTCCCTGCGGTGTCTGGGACTCTCCTTCCTAAAGGGAGGCAGAGGCCCGGATGAGTGAGCCATCACAGCTGGCCTGCCAAGAGAGGTGTTTGCTGTATCAACCGCCTACAGTGGGCCCTGTGCTCTTTTTCTGCTGTGCAGTTAATTCCTGAGCTTGCCTCTCAAACGCCAGGCAGTGGAAAGCTGTGATTTGCACACGTGTGTGGAAGAGGTTCCAGCCTGAGGTTCCAGCCTGCCGATAGGCTGCGTTTTCTGCAGACCAAGGGATGCGTTTCTGCAGCCCTCCGGGACTAGGGGGAGACAAAATGGCTGCTGGAGAGAGGAGTTGTGGGAGAAGGTAGGGGAGGGCTGGTGGAGGCAGCTGGGCCGAGGCGGATGCGGCCTTCTTAGAGTGGCTGATTCTCCTGACTTCCCACTAGCTCTTTGCAAACCGTCTGGGGGTCGCCCGATTGCTGGGCCCAGAGGAGCAGCGTGTGTGGCAAGGTGTGACAGAGGAGTTCATGTCGGATGAGGAGGACAGCCTGAGCGAGCCGGGGGTGTGGGTGGCCCGTCCCCCACGCTTCCGTGCCGCTCCCCTTACTCAGCTCTGCTATCGGCTGGATGCCAATTCCAAGCATGGTACCAAAGCCAACCGGGTCTATGGGCCACCCTCTGATCGCCTGCCCTCCGCAGAAGCCCAGCTCCTGCCCCAGCACCTGTATAATCCTCATTTCCAAGAGGAAGAAGGCCGGGCTGCCGCTTCTCCGCACCCTCCCAGCCACAAAGGGTTTTGTCCTGACCTCAGCTCCTTTGTCGAGATCAAAGTGGAAAAGGATGAGTGATCGAAGATGGCTGCCTTCGTTTACTGTCATTGGGGAGAGAGAAGACAGGGTCAGATACGATGCTTTCACCACTGGCTGCATGCAGTTTCTTCCTCAAGTTGAAGAGGGAAGCACATTGTCAGTCAGGATCCAAGTGGCTTTTATGGGCTTCTTAGACACAACTTCACTTTAGAGGGGAAGCACTTGAAGTCACATGGAGAAGAAACGGTGATGATGATAGACGGCATTGAAAAAGGGAACCCTGTACAGTTCGACCGGCTGGTCTGTACTCAGCGGGGTGACTGTGCGATCATTTAGGGAACCGGATTACGAAGGACATTTGCTGAGCCACTGGAAGGCAAACTTGAAACAATGCAGGGATTCCCATAAAGAAGGTGACTTACATTGTGGATTGGTTCAATCAGAAACTCAGAGCAAGCCTTCTCACTGCACAGACTCTCTGTTCCGCCCCTGAGTACCTAGTGACATAAAATCAAGGGCTGACGGTTTGTGGAATGATGGGACATGGCGCTTTTCTTGGGACTATAGCGCTTTGCAGAACGCCTCCTGCTGAACTTCTTCATTGACAGCGAAGCTTTTAAAGAAGCCACATATCACGATACCTACAGAACTAGCTTGACTTCCCTTGCCTACAACTGTGTCAACATGAAATGGATGGGAAACGGTGTGAGCAGATCTCAGAGCAAACAAAAGGACGGGCAATTTGACCTGAGAGACGCCGAGTTACACCTCTAAAGCAGAGGCAGCTTGGAACGCAAGACCATTTAACCATCACTACTTAGGACCTGAACTATATATGGGGGTGAAACAGCCCTTAAAAACAAGCACCTGCTTTTTCTGTAAACACTTGTTTCTGTTCTCTTTTCCTGGATGTTGGCTTCTCCTTGGAATTTGCTGGTTGTGGTTATTAACTTAGGATCTAGGACTTGTGGGTTCTGTCCCCCTTATAGCAAGTATATTAAAAAAATATGTGTGAGAGCAGGGAGAATTGCTAAGAGACAACACACCTAAGTTTTACGCTTGGGTTGTTTTTATATTGACTTTTCCTCTGCTAGGTTTCAGATAGAGCTGTCTGAAGTGAACGTCAGACTCCCGGTTTCCCAACGGGAGAAAATGCAGCCCTGAGTTTTCATCCCTTGGACATGCACTAGTTCAAAAGTGTTCATTGACCAATATTCTGGCTGACATTTTACAAAAGGCTTTGTTTCAAATTGGTCACATGCCGGTCCCATCTCTGCTCTTACACATAGCTAGACCAGATTAAAGGTGACCAGATGGGGAGATGTTGGGAAGGGAAGGCAACAGAGAGGGCCTAAAATCCAGGCCAATGCCAACCTAATGGTGCATCATGAGAAACCTTTTTCTAGGCTTCACTGGCCTCTAGCGGCTTTACTAGGTAGTACAAAAAGATGGACCTACCTTTTTCTTTCTGCTTGGGGAAAAGCCTGTTATCTTTTTGTTTTTTTATGTAGAAAAAGCAAAAGGGTAGGCGTCATCTCTGTTATCCTACTTTCTGAAGCCCTCTGCCCTCTTACTAAACAATCACTCTGTTTACTGTAGCCCAGGCCTCCTTTTGTTCCTCTGATTCTCAGTTCATCCTTGTGTATTGTATGCAAAAACGTTCATTGACAAAGATTTATAGCTAGCTCCCTTCCAGCCCCCAGATACTGTGTTGGAACACTGAGATACAAGAGGGCCTTGTATTTCAACATTCCCAATATTAAATCCAGATATCTCTAGTTAAAAGAATCTGATAATAGGGGAAAGACCTCTGCTGTCAGACGCTGGATGGGCAAATAATTTATCCTGGTGTGAGCCAGATTCCTGTTCAAAAACTTAGGCGAAGAGCATACTTTGAAAACATACACACCAGCAACCGGTGATTTTTACACACTGAATGAGAATTGGAATAAACATGTCTTCAGGCTTGCTTTTTTTTGAAAGCCATCAGCAATCTCCTTGAGGAGAGAATTCTAAAGGTGTAGGGCCACCAAAGCACATGGCACCCTAGTGGCTTTTGCTGCTGTTCCAGAGAACAGGACCACAAATAGTAATCTTAAAGCTTGGGGAGACTCGTGTAGTTGGTCCTCCAGATAAAGTGGTTCCAAGCCATTTAGTTTCCAAGGCCAAAGCGAACACCTGGAATTTGGTTTGGAGCCTAAGTGGCGGCCAGTGCAAACAGTGTAGGATAGATGCTCCAAGCTCTTAACTCTCACAAATGTTCCAGCAGACACAACCTGTACCAGTTGCTGTTCCTGAATCACTGGGGCACTTCCACAAAGGCCTAATGAAAGATAACCATTGTGATAATCAAATATGCTGTCCAGAGACAGAATTTATTGTTGTTGTTAGTCGCGAAGTCGTGTCCAACCCCATGGACAACATTCCTCCAGGCCTTCCTGTCCTCCATCATACCCTGGAGTCCACTTAAGCTCATACCAGCTGCTTCAGTGACTCCATCTAACCACCTCATCCTCTGCCGTCCCCTTCTCCTTTTGCCATCAATCGTTCCCAGCATCAGGGTCTTCTCTAGGGAGTCCTTCCTTCTCATTAGGTGGCCAAAGTATTTGACTTTCATCTTCAGGATCTGGCCTTCTAAAGAGCAGTCAGGGTTGATCTCCTCTAGGACTGACCGGTTTGATCGCCTTGCGGTCCAAGGGACTCGCAGGAGTCTCCTCCAGCACCACAATTCAAAGGCCTCAATCCTTCAGCACTCAGCCTTACTTATGGTCCAACTCACAGCCATACATTGCAACTGGGAAAACCATAGCCTTGACTATATGCACTTTTGTTGGCAGGGTGATGTCTTTGCTTTTTAATATGCTGTCTAGATTTGCCATAGCTTTCCTCCCCAGGAGCAAGCGTCTTTTAATTTCTTGGCTGCGGTCCCTGTCTGCGGTGATCTTGGAGCCCAGGAAGATAAAATCTGTCACTACCTCCATTTCTTCCCCATCTATTTGCCAGGAAGTAAGAGGACCGGATGCCATGATCTTAGTTTTCTTAATGTTGAGTTTCAAGCCAACTTTTGCACTCTCCTCCTTCACCCGCATCAAGAGGCTCTTTAGTTCCTCTTCACTTTCTGCCATTAGAGTGGTATCATCTGCATTTCTGAGGTTGTTGATATTTCTCCCAGCAATCTTAATTCCAACTGGTGATTCATCTAGCCCTGCCTTTCTCATGATGTGCTCTGCATATAAGTTAAATTGGCAATGCTGTATACTGTCGCCCTGCCTAACTCCTTTCTTGATTTTGAACCAATCAGTGGTTCCGTGTCCAATTCTCACTGTTGCTTCTTGACCCGCATATAGGTTTCTCAAGAGACAAATAAGATGGTCTGGTACTCCCATCTCTTTAAGAACTTGCCACAATTTGTTGTGATCCACACAATCAAAGGCTTTAGCATAGTCAATGAAGTAGATGTTTTTCTGGAACTCCCTAGCTTTCTCCATGATCCAGTGTATGTTGGCTATTTGATCTCTAGTTCCTCTCCCTCTTCGAAGTCCTGCCTGTACTTCAGGTATTTCTCAGTCCACATACTGCTGGAGCCTAGCTTGTAGGATTTTGAGCATAACTTTGCTAGAGTGTGAAATGTGTGCAGTGGTGCGGTAGTTTGAACATTCTTTGGCATTGCCCATCTTTGGGATCGGAATGTAAACTGACCTTTTCCAATCCTGTGGCCACTGTTGAGTTTTCCAAATTTGCTGGCATATTGAGTGTAGCACTTTTACCTCATCGTCTTTTAAGATTTTGAATAGCTCAGCTGGAATACTGTCACCTCCACTAGCTTTGTTGTTGCTCAGACTTCCTAAGGCCCATTTGACTTCACATTCCAGGATGTCTGGCTCGAGGTCAGTACCACCCCATTGTGGTTATCAGGGATGTTAAACTCTTTCTTGTATACTTCCTCTGTGTAATCTTGCCACCTCTTCTTAATCTCTTCTGCCTCTGTTAGGTCCTGCCATTTTGATTCTTTATCATGCCCATCTTTGCATGAAATATTCCCTTCATATCTCCAATTTTCTTGAAGAGATCTCTTGTCCACCCTATTGTTTTCTTCTATTTCTTTACATTGTTCATTTAAGAAGGCATTCTTATCTCTTCTAGTTATTCTCTGGAATTCTGCATTCAATTGTTTGTATCTTTCTCCCTTGCCTTTCACTTCCCTTCTTTCCTCAGCTATTTGTAAAGCTTCCTCAGACAGCCATTTTGCTTTCTCGCATTTCTTTTTCTTTGGGATGGTTTTAGATGCTACCTCTTGTACAATGGCGCGAACCTCTGTCCATAGTTCTTCAGGCACTCTGTCTATCAGATCTAATTCCTTAAATCTACTGTATATTCATCAGGGATATTTTAGGTCATACCTGAGTGGCCTAGTGCTTTTCCCTACTTTCTTCAATTTAAGTCAATTTTGCAACCAGAAGCTCTTGATCTGAGCCACAGTCAGCTCCTGGTCTAGTTTTTACTGACTGGATAGAGCTTCTCCGTCTTTGGCTGCAGAGCACATAGTCAATCTTATTTCTGTGTTGACCGTCTGGTGATGTCCATGTGTAGAGTCATCTCTTGGATTGTTGGAAAAGAGTGTTTGCTATGACCATCGTATTCTCTTGACAAAATTCTACCAGCCTGTGCCCTGCTTCATTTTGTACTACAAGGCCAAACTTGCCTGTTATCCCGGTAATCTTTTGGCTTCCTACTTTGGCATTCCAATCCCCATG